TCATGGCCATACCCACTAAGGGTCCGACCTCTACAAGAAGGAATCACCATCCCTAGGACATGACGTGGTCAACAAAAGAAGGCCAGGGCCCTCAGAGTCCTCCCTTTTGGAAAAAACCTCCGAAGGAGTATACTACTCCTCCGCAGGCTCGGGGGCTACTGTCGGGGACTAATACTAGGGTACCCAAAGAGGAGGAGCTAATAACCATCAACGTTGATTCATCCGAACGGTCAAGAGCGCGACTCAGGCTCTTGCCGACCACCGAGGCTATGGACTCTGCCTCGTCCGACCCTCGAAGGTTGGCTCCAGCTCTTGCCGACCACCGAGGCCGCGGGCTCCGTCTCGTCTGACCCCTGAGGGTTGGCTCTGTCTCGCCCGACGTCTGAGGGCTGGCTCCACCTCGCCCGATGTCTGAGGGCTGGCTCTGCCTCGCCCGACCCCTGAGGGTTGGCTCCGCTTCGCCCGACGTCTGAGGGCTGGCTCCGCCTCACCCGATCCCTCAGGTACGGATCCTAACGGAAGCTCACGCCGCCGCCAACCACTACGGGCCAGAAAGTATGACCCAGGGTCAAACTTCTGGCATCGTGCAGGGAGTGGTCACATCTCAACACGACCCATCCCCGTGACATGTCATTCCAGGGGACTGACATCGCCCACAGTGACGGACGCGTGGTCACTATGCTGCCTACTCTCAGTATGGCGGCCGATCGACAAAATTTGGTTTGCCTTGCTTGCTGCGTCAAGTGGTGGGGACGTGATGACCCTCGGCATTGTCAGCGGACAGGCGCCCGACGTGGAGCTATCCATGTCACCACCTGCCATGTCAGTGGGGCCCGCGACGAGGAAAAAGAAAGGCACGCCCTGAAGGACTTCCTCTGCCTCTCGTTCTCCTTTTTTCCAAAACCCTAAAAAAATCCATATCCGCATCCGCATCCATGTATTATCCGCTCTGATTTGAATCTGATAAGAAAAACAGATTAGGATATGAAAGAGGCATTATCCATTTCCAATCTGATCTATTTTGATCCCTACATATCTCTAATGAGTGGGACCATTAGACTATGCATTGCATCTGCTCGGCAAGGCTCAGCAAACACGGCCGATTCAACTACACCGCAGGATGCTGCATTAGCTGGGCCAACCTAGCATCACGGCTTAAGATGTAACTTAGTGACGGGAAACAAAGCGTCTCTAAATTTACGTATGTGATGTGGACACTATTAGTGATGAGTGCTCCACCGTCTCAGATATGTACATAGTTGATGGTTAATAATAAACAAAAATCGTCTCGGTTATATATAAAATAGCGACGGGTCCTAGGACACTAACCATCTCTAAAAACAATAATACAGACGATTACTCGAGACAAACCGTCTCTGATATACAACAATTAGTAACGGCTACCTCTGGAAAACGTCTCTGATTCGTTTACAATAGTGACGGTTACTAAGGCGTACCCGTCTTTGGTATGTATATCATAGCGACGGTTTGAGGAATATAACCCATCTCTAATATATGCATGACAAATAGACGGTTGTTAGGAAAAAACGTCTCTGATATCACCCAAACAGAGACGTACGCATTATGCTCTGTTCGTTTGGCTGATAAGCCATGGCTAAAAGTACTGTTGGCTGATTTGTTGTGAGAGAAAAATACTGTTCGTTGGCTGAAAAAGTACGGCTTATAAGCCAACCGAACAGGGCATTAATGGAGCCCGTCTCAGATTTGATATACCGTAAATTCAAGCGCGTCTGCAATATCCATGCGATAGAGACAAGTTTCTTCTAGAACGTGTCTATGACGATGCTTATCACCCTACGTGTATGCAAATTCCGAGTCTCTTTATGTGCTCATTACATGAAACTTTGATCACATATAAGTTTTCGCACATCCGCTAGGGGATCGGAGGGCGTAGATGTCACATCCGCTAGGGGAGAGGGTGTCGTCGCCACCGGCTCCAAGGGGGAGGGGGGGGTGTAGCCAGCTCCGAGTAGACAATGAGAGCGAGAGAGGAAATCGATTTGAAATGGCACCGAGAGAGAAAGGTGAGACATGCTTCGTTTATATTTTCCTTGACGGTGAATTTCTACCATATACTGACATTAGTTTTATGCTTTACAGACGCATGAAAGTTCAGTGGGATGCTACCTGTTGAATCGAACTATATGGGGTAGGTTTGGGCTTTGGCTTCCAACAATTATTGGAAGCCAAAGGCTCCTAAATAGTGCACCATATCAGACAGAACTTTCACCCAAAATATCGATCAAGTAAATAAGCGTGACAAAAGCAACCAAGGAAAACGCAGCTACCTCTCACAGAACACTAGAACAGCTGCGCATATTCACAGGACGTACAAGCATGCATATGCATGGCAACATATAGTTACCTGCGACTGCGATATATACTAGCACGTTCCAGCAGCGACGACGACATCACGTCCCAACATTATTCATTATCTAATATATACTATTAGCTCACTAGCATAGTAGCATTATACTGTATTCTAACTACTAGCTAGTCAGCAAGCATTACTGAAGAAGATGCACACAAGACATGAGGGACAGTTCCGATGAGCCAGTGGTAACGACAGCGATTCATCAAGTTTGACAGGTGCCGATGCCACGCACTGTGCCAAGTACTACGGGGAGTCGTCGGAGTCGAACGAGAGCTACCACTAGCAATTTGGAGACCTGCATGTTGCTTTACTTCTCACTTCTCAGGATGGCCTGGCGGCCAGCCTTCAGCTAGCTCGTCTGCATGGACGAATAATACTGATGATGCCTGCCTTTTATAGAGGACGGGAAGGCTTCTCGTGCGATGAGATTGAAGAAATCACTTTGGAACCGAGCTAGTTGGGACAAGACACGGGCGGGCGGCCCGGGGTGGTGTGCTCCGTCCGCACCGGCGCCGCCACACACATGAAACCTCCGCGAACTTCAGTTCGACCTTCGTTGAGGATGGGAGCTGTCATTGTCACTTTGCTTGCGCACGATCAGAGGTAAGCATGTCTCCCTTCGCCAGTGGCCCCAGCCGCCCAGCGCCAACGGGATACGGACAATGTGCCTTGGGTGGCCGCAGGATTCACAGCCATGTCGGCCCTGCTGGCGAGGCCGGGCAAGTGTTCCGGCTATGATTCATTCATTTTGCTATGTATTTAAACATTATATATATATATATATATATATATATATATATACACACATAGCAATATGAATGTAAAAAAAAAGTCAAAGTAACTTATAATTTAGATAGATCGCCTTTTGCCCTTGTTTCTTCCTGCTTGTGTTTGTGTGCGTGGTTCTAGGCATGGCATCTCGTCAGTGTTTAGTACCAAGTTAAAGCCTCTCCGAACGTAACATGTTATTATTCTATTATTTTTGCAGAAGCGCCGCCTCTCATAAGGTGAAAGGTTTATTCAAACTAGGAAATATGCACGTGCGACACGCACGTGTTTTCAAATACAATAGAAATTTTAATTGAATTATCGATATACAATAAAGTAGGTGCCAAGTGTTTGATTGATCGATTTGATTGGGTCGTATAGAACAAGGTACAAATCAGAGGCAAACAATCATTACACAAAAGTTTGGGTGTGGTGCATCTGCATGAACGTGTCGTGCATGACACGTCAAGTTCAGGTGTTGGCTTCAGCTACAGCTTATGACGTGAACGCATAATCACAGTTGGGACCTGTTACGTCGCATGTGGCTATTAGACCAAACGACTTAAGACTTGGACGCCTTGGATTCAGCCGAATTAGATTAGATTTACGTGTGCATACAGAAAGGCCATGCATGATAACTGGGTAGGACACTGTTAGGGGCTAGCTGTGATCGAGAGGGAGTCGAGCTGTGTGATTAAGTCTGTTGCGTAGGTGTACGTGATCGAGAGGGAGTCGAGCCATGGGATTGAGGGGGGCGTGGATAAGATCTCGGACGACGGAAGGCTCATATGACACGGCGTCTAGATCGAATGGTTATCGGAGAGTAAGATCTCGGACGACGGAAGGCTCATATCAAACGGTGTCAAGATCAAACGGTTATGAAAGAGGGATAGCCCTCCACAAATTGATCGTTCTTTTATAGTGTGATGTGATGAGGAGCAATTCATAAGGTAAAAGACGGAATAAGAAGCATATTTTCTGGCACGATGTGAGTGCTCCGCTCAAAATCATGTTCAATGAGTTATACAACATATGGATGACCAATTTGGCACGCGTTGGAGAAATTATATATACTGATGATGGATTGTGGATGGCAAATCAGCTTCAGAAGAGCCCTAACAGAAGGTGAACATGTCATCTGGCATCAACTCAAGGAGGAGCTGGCCGGCGTCACTTTATCGGCTGATCAAGGAGACGATGTTAAATGGGCGTTGAAATCCAGGAAATACACTACCCAATCTATGTATAGGTCCATCATAGATGATGGAGTTCACAACAGACAATCATCTCTGATATGGAAATGCAGAGTACCAATAAAAATCAAGGTCTTTAATTATGTGGCAAGTTCTTAACAATAAGAGATAGCTGTACAGAAGAGGTAAATTCCATTTGATTCTGAAGGAATTACGCCAATTGTGTTGGTGACATTTAGATCTCACCATTTTCAATTTCAAACTAGCGAGTGGTGTATATTTTTGTATTTTTAATCGGTCAATTATTTATTTATCTATTTGATTTTACAAAAAAGAACGAATATATGAAAATAAAAAAAAAATCTCCACCCATGTTTGTCCCCATGTGGGCTACCACGGCAACGACGGAGGCCCAAATAGGCCTAGAATGTGTTTTTTTATAGCGGGCCTAGAATGTGTTTTTTATAGCGGGCCTAGAATGTGTTTTTTTTGTTAGCGGGCCTAGACTGTGTTGACCCACAACAGCAAAGGCAGCATTCCCGTTTCCGTCCCGTTTGCTTACATCACAGAGCAGCCGAGAACCAGAGACAGAAGAAGAAAACTCCAGCCGCCGAGCTCAGCCGCCGCGACCGGGACCGGGGAAGATGGCCGACGGCAGCGCCTCCGCCTCGCCGCCCTCCGTTTCTCCGCACCACCAGTACCACCGCGACGCCATCAAGTCTTCAGGTGCACCCTCGCGCTTCCCTCCTGTCTCCTCCCGCCGGCGTTGCTTTGTCATCGCTTCGAACACTAGGCGCGCGCGGGCCGCGGCCGCGGCAGAAGCCCTAACCTATCTGAATCACCCTGAGCTCGCGTTGCGGTTCTGTTGCTCTCGGAACGAGGAGCGGTGAGCGCGCTAAGTGCTCTACTGGCTTCTGCTATTGCCTTATTTGGGAAGAACTTCGCCTACGCCAGGGTTCGATAACTGTTTTGCTCGAGCAGTCGAGCTGATTAGAATTGGGACTCATCTTATTAGCAGGGTTAGGTGGCAAGGAACTTGGTTTGAGGGGTTATTCTGTAGTGAACGAAACCTGGCGAATTGGCATGACAAACAATTTACAATTTGACATGTGTGGCCGAAAATTAAGCAGTGGCTAATGCTACCTCCTGTAGCCCTGTAGGTAGCTGCTAAATCCCTTGTGAAGCATTATAGAGTCGTGTTACTTTTATTAGGGCGATTTATTACTTAAAGTTCCAATTGCAGTGTCATGTTCACCACCACTAATTTTGCTATTCAATTTTATATCTATGATTATAGCTGCATAAATTATGCGAGTAATGAATCTAGGGTAGTACATTAACCTTAGACTGTTTGATGTTGGTGTTGAGCAGTAGAATGGAATTATATATATGTTAACTCTGTTGCATCCTAAATTAATCATGCGACAAAAAAAAAACTTATTACAACATTGCAGGAAAAAAAAACATATATCATGGTGCATCCTACTTGTGGATCTTGTTGCTAGTCTGCAGTAAGTATAGCCTCTAAGGCCTTTAGTTGGTTGTATGTCTGGTTGCAGTGCGCAATACAGCTGCTAATCGGAGGAGGGAGCAGGCTCTTGCAATAGGGAAGGAAAGAAGGGAAGCTTTGATGCGTGCAAAGCGAGTATGTCGAGCTCCTCTTTCCGGCAGTGATGAGGCTGCAGCAGAAGATGGTGACATGGTTATTGACGAGGGGAAAGCAGATCTTGAGGCTAGAACGACTCAGGCTGTTGAGGAACTGAAATCTGCTTTGTCAAGCCAGTAGGTGCCTTCCATAAAAAAGATTTCCATTTATGTTAATATAAGCCCTAATTCTTGGTGTACTCTTTAATAGCCTGAATATATCATACTGCTCTCCCTTTTCTCAACCAAATGAAAGCCATCACCTTGAATTATTCCTAGTCTTGGTTTTGAGGTCTCTTCCTGTATTGCATCTACAGGAGGTCAAAATAGTTTGGTTATGATGCATTGACAGAATAGTTTTGATAATCTCTTGAACATCTCATTTCATATGTAAAACCCTATGTGGTCATTGATATGATTTACAGACATGAACCCAATTGCACAGTAGTTTATTTGTGATCCTGCTTCTATTTACTTGTTTTTGATATTTTCCGCCTTGGAAATTACGCATCAGCTAGCTGTAAGGGCTGAACTTAATTCAAGCACTCTCAAATTTAACTACTAGAATAGAATATGAAGCGCATATTAAAAGAACTCTGGTTTTGAATTATATGTTTTACGGTTACTCTTAGGGGAAAAGGGGCACAGAAGAGGAAGACAGAGCTGCTTCGTGCTTTAAGGCGTTTGTTGTCCCAGTCTGAAGTACCTCCAGTTGATGCAGCAATTAAAGCTGGAGCAGTCCCTCTGTTAGTGCAGTATCTGTCGTTTGGATCATCAGATGAACAAGTTGAGCACACTCCACTTATTGTTCCATAGCCCTAACAGTACAATTAAACTGAGTAAAGTTTGTATGTGTTGATCATTCGCATGGTAATTGTATCGCTATACTCAATTGATCTTTTCTCTTATCAAGATTCTTCATGCTTTTTAATTGCAGTTGCTAGAGGCAGCTTGGTGCCTTACAAACATAGCGGCAGGGGAACCTGAGGAAACTAAATCCTTACTTCCTGCTCTACCATTGCTCATTGCTCACCTTGGTGGTTAGTTTTCTCTTATTTGTTGGTCAAATGTAATAGCGTCCATTTCCATTCCCATTTGTCTCTAGAATACACAATTCTCAAGAATGACTACTGGGTTGACCTCCTATAAAAGTTTTAATCTCCCTATGTCTGTTAGAGAAGAGCTCCACACTTGTCGCGGAACAATGTGCATGGGCCATCGGTAATGTTGCTGGTGAAGGAGTAGAGCTGAGAAGCACATTACTTGCTCAAGGTGCTTTGTGGCCTCTTGCCCGTTTAATGCTGTCAAATAAGGGTTCTACAGCAAGAACTGCTGCATGGGCATTGTCAAATCTCATCAAGGTTGTATTGATTAAGCCCCTCTCTTGCTTGTTATGTCACAGTTGTCTCTTTACCAAGAGCATTTTTTATAGAAGGAATTAAAATTAAGCATAAGCTATTAAGCTTAAACTTGAACTAAGATAAAGTATTTCCAAGATGGTACTACTGTAACGGTTTCCTCCCCTCCATCCTGTTCAGTTTTCCTAAGTCAAACCATCCAAAGTTTCACCAAGTTTGTTGAAAAGATCATGAATATTTACAATATGAAAGAGGTAATTTGTGAAAATACATTTCATAATAATGTATCTAATTATCTAATGGAGCTCATTTGATATTGTAAATATTCTTAAACTTGGTTAAACTTAGGATGGTTTGAAAACAATTGAAAATCCACTATATTTCAGGGAGGGAGTAGTTGACAAGTCATATCCATATCTACCCTTAACATAAGTTCAAGCCATATCTGTGTTGGGAAGTTTAGACTTCCCGAAACTTAAAAAATATATATTTTAAAACCTTATATGCTAAATTGCTCCAACAGCGGGATGCCGGGATCCCCATTCCTGATTTTAACTGCCTGGCTATCAAACTTTCGCAGGATTCTAGAATTCAAATGATGGCCTGTTTTGGTGATTTTAGATGCCAATTTAAAATATTTCAAGAGACAGTGCTATTTTAAGGTTGAGTCAACACACAAGTAGAGAATCCATACAAAAACAAACCACTGGGAACCCAGCTGGTTACTGAAATCCTTGTGTGCTCTTGGATTTTGTCCAGAATCTGGAAAATGACACCCTGCCGATGGAGTTAATTGGTGTTTCTACATATGCTTGTAACTACATACCAAGCTTCATTTGCTGAAACATTTGTTTCTCTTATCCCAGGGGCCTGATTCCAAGGCTGCGAATGAGCTTATTGGCATCGATGGTGTACTGAATTCAATCACGCGGAACTTGGAAAAAGCGTATGTGCCACCTTATTGACATCTTTTTATTTTGCATCATTACTTCTGTGTACACTTCTTGACTTTGGAGAACTCAAGTAGAGATATGGTTGTTCTGACTTCTGATGCTAGTTTCTTACTTGCTACAAAAAATACTAGTTATCTGTCCCTTGTTCTCACAGTCCCATGAAATACATTCTTTTTAGCTTAATTAGGGATAATCTCAATTCTTTTTTGGTGGGGTATTTAGATTCGCTGGCATGCGACCTGTATCTTCACTCCATGGCGGATCTTAGAAACATATGCTGGGAGGGGTTATAGTCACATGCCCAATCTCCTGACCTTTCCTCAGTATGCACCCATGCTGTGTTGTATATATCGGCTGCTTTGTGCAATCTTCTCTATGCAGTCTTATGTTTGGTCTGTTTCAAAAATATCTAAGTTCTGCATGTTTACATCATCAACTAACTAAATCTATCAAATCCCCATGCTTGCTTCGCTCATTACTGCTGCTGATGAGTTGTTTTTGGACTCTTCAGGGATGAAGAACTTGCAACTGAGGTGGCATGGGTAGTGGTCTATCTTTCAGCACTTTCAGAAAAAGCTACCAGCCTAGTAGTAAGAAGTTCTGTGCCACAGTTGCTGATCGGGCGGCTTCTAGCATCTGAAAACTTGCAGTTGCTCATTCCGGTATCATCTTCGTTTTCTCCATCGCAATTTTTAACTTGTGCCTATTCTCAGTTTCAGATTTTTCCCTAAAATGAAACACCTATTATTTGGACACCTTTTATCGTTAACTGTTGCACAGGAAACTATTCTATATTCTAAATTGGCATTTGTTTGTCACGATATTTTTGTATGAAGGTGCTAATAATGATTTCCAGACAATAGGGATTTGCCGTTAATGTACATTGTATAAATTGGCATCTGTTTGTCAAGGATCATTTTCTCTTGTAAATTTAGAATTATCTAGCAACTTGTAAATATATAGCTAGTATATGTGATTTCACAGCTCAGACAGATTGACTTTTCTACTTCAAAATAGGTACTTCGCGGTTTAGGAAATCTTGTAGCTGGTGATGGTTACATGGTTGATTCAGTCCTAATTGTTGGAAACAGTGTCACAGGTTAGCTCATAATTGGATAATCCTTTATAGCTAATTGTATATGAGCACCATATTTCACTTGTAATGATGTTATCAGCTAACAGCTTGCCATTCTAGAGTATGTGTTAGTCTCCAAGTACTAAGTCACTAACTAAATATTGTTCCAGATCAAGCCTTATCAAGTCTTATCAAGTGTTTGAAGAGCGACAATAGGGTTCTCAAGAAGGTATGTTGCCCTTTCATTTGCTGACTAAGTTTATTTTAATTTGGACTCTAAAAGGTTATATAATTCTTTGGTTTATCTTGTCTTTTTTTTTAACTGCTTATATAGGAGGCATCATGGGCCATGTCAAATATAGCAGCGGGCAGTTTCGAGCATAAGAAACTGATATTTGCTAGTGAGGCGACTCCTTTGCTGATGCACCTCCTCAGGACTGCACAATTTGACATCCGCAGGGAAGCAGCATACACCCTGGGCAATCTGTGTGTTGTCCCAGCAGGCAGTGGTAACCCCCCAAACATAATCATTGAACATTTAGTTGCCATCGTAGATGGTGGAGCCCTTCCAGGATTTATAAATTTGGTGAGGTCAGCTGATATAGACAGTGCGAGACTTGGGCTTCAGTTCCTGGAACTGGTAAGGGAATCTGAGATTTTAATGCTTAAAAGCATTTAGCCATGTCTTTTGTCTACTGGGATTCATATTACCGCAAATCAAATTCATTTTGCAGGTGATGAGAGGATACCCTAACAGTCAGGGTCCAAAGCTCGTGGAGGCAGAGGACGGCATCGAGGCTATGGAGAGGTTCCAGTTCCATGAGAACGAGGTGATGAGGAATATGGCCAACGGTTTGGTTGACAAATACTTTGGCGAAGACTATGGTCTCGAGTGAGTTCCTTGTGCCGCGCCGATACACCTGGGTAAACATCGTAGAGCTGTTCGTGGGTTTGAAATGTAACAGTGCTAGAGCAGAAGGATGCCCGTTCATCATGGTTACCATGTAATTTAGCCCTTGATTCTGTAGTTGGAAATGTGAATGTGTTGAGTGTGAAACTGACCGTGAGCTATAGAAGTATGGATACTGGAAACCGTCGATAGACCTTGACATCTTGTACGATACGAAATAACTAGCCTTGCTGTCTTCTCTCTTGCAGCCATTTGCCAATCCAAATTTGAAATTTGAACAGATTGCTGCAGCAGCTAGTTGTAAGGGTGTATGTGCTGCAACTGCAATGATCAACTGTTAAAACACTAGCTGTAAGTGGCCGTATGATTTCTAGAAGACGTATCACCGTTGTTACAGTAGCAGGACACTAATTCTAGCACCAAGCAAACTCATTTGTCAACTAAAATCCCTGGTGGTATTGGACTAGGAGGCATTGGCAGCCGTCTTGCTCTCGTCTCTCGATCGCATTTCGTCGAGCACGTCCCTGGCGGGCGGCGAGACCGTGGCCTCCCACTCGGCGAAGTCGGCCTCCACCTCCGCCGCCTCCTCGTGGAGGCCCAGCCGCTTCATCCCCCGCGCCATCACCCTGTACACGTACTCGTCCACGTCGAGGCCGCCCTTCCTGACGGCCGCCTCGTACACCTTCCACGCCGCGCGGCCCCTGGCCTTGGCCACCAGCGCGCGCAGCAGCCTCGTGAGCTTGTACACGTCCTCCTTCCCGTCCACGAACCCGCCGCCGCGCGCCTTCTCCTCCAGGAACGCCTCCACGAGCGCGTCCAAGGCGGCCTCGGCCTCGCCCTCGCTCTCGCTCTCGCCGGAGGGCGAGGCCGGCGCGGAGGAGACGAAGGTGGCGTAGAGCTCCGGGTCCGGGCGGTACCAGGGCTCGGCGCGGGCGACGTGGAGCGCGGCGAGGGCGAGGGACCAGTGGCCCTGCCGCTGGAGCTCGGCCATGGCGGCCACGAGGTCCGCCTTCAGGAGGCGGCCCAGGGCGGAGGCCGCGGCGGCGGAGGCAGCCGCCGGCGAGCGGTCGGCGGAGGTGAGGCGCTTCAGGGATTGGATCGCCAGGATGGCCTCCGTGGAGAGGGAGCGGCCGCGCTGGAGGGGCCCGCGGTTGTCGCGCGGCCCGCAGGTGATGGAGACGGGCCTAGGCTTGTGAGTGGCACTGCGTCCGGGCTTCGCGCACGGGCTCCGGGTGGGGCGCGGGACGAAGAGGAGAGACGCCATTGGAGGGGAAGCGGGGAAGTCGGCAAGCGGTAGGAGAAAGAGGAACACCGTAATTTATGTGCCAGCAAGCGGGGAAGCTGCAGCGTGGCGTGAGTGGCCTGCGGTGGCGTGGAGGTCTGCGGCGACTCGGCCAGCAGCGGCTTGGGGGCCTGTGGCAACTCGTCCTGCGGCGGCGCGGCGGGAGGAACTGAGCGTAGGGCTGCCGGACTGAGCAGATGAGGCACTTTTGTTTCTGTGCCGTCCGATAGCGTTTGGACGATGGATACAGGCAGCTATGCCTCTGTGGCCTCTGTTCAGTGTTCACTCACTGCTAGCCAGGTCCCTATTACCCGAAGCCGTATCTAAGTCACCCAATCTGCTGCGGATTTGGACGCCGTTAAGAAATCTGACTGGGCCATCCATCAGACGTTTGATTGTTTTGAACGAATATCAGACGTTTGATTGTTTTGAACGAGTATCAGACGTTTGATTTTAGACGTCTAGATTGGATGGATGTGTCTAGCGTCGCCCTTGGATTCTAACGAAACAATCTTTCATTGTCACATGACTCAACCTAAATAATTGTGGCCACCTTCTGACAAATGGTGTAGTAATGCAAAAAAAAAAGCAATAAGAGCGTGTTTAGTTCATTACAGATGTTGCCACAGGTCACCACTCCTCATCATGGCTAATGTTCGGTTCATAGTTGAAGTTGCGGCATGCCGCACCCTGCTTAGGTGTAGTTCATTTTGTATGCCATAGCTCGCCTAAAGTGCGACACTGTTTTGTGTGCCACACTTGCGGCCGAAGCTCTGACGTAACAAACCGTGGTAGGAAGCCAAATATGCCTTAATACCTCTCAGATGTCGCCCATTCTTGTACCTTAAAATTTAGGATATAGATATGACAAGCTCAAATCCCACCTAGGGGGCTAGGTTATGGGGTAGGGAATAGATGCTGAGGGATAGAGCCATCGTAACCTCTGCTCCCACGGTACGCACGGTCTCCTCCTTCCCATGCTATAAAAATCCTAGGTCCTCGCAATCTCCATCCAAATCTTGTATTTTCGCACCAGATCCGGCTACTCTAGGTGTTGCTCATTCTTCCTGTGGTCTTCACATTATGAATGGTGCGGGCTCAGTGATGATGACCAGCCCGATCGTGATCTTTCCTCTAGCTGGGGTAGATCATTTACTACTCATCGAACGTCCCTTCTCACGCCCTTGACTTCGTCGGTGCCTGTTGTTTGTTCCCCCTCATCACCACGGTTGAACGAGGGTTGGTTGCATAGTCACTTGGCGGCCTCACGCTCAGTGGACCATTTCTCCTATCGTTCTTTCGTGCTTGGACTACAATCATCCTTAAGCTATGGGGCATACTAGGCTTCGACCCTGTGGCAATGCCACCACTACTCATAGGGTTTTGCTAGGGACCGGCCCTTCTAGTTCAATCTGTGGACCCCTTATGAAAGGTTCCATCAGTGGTAGCCTATAATAGTTATTAACGTGTCACTTATTTAAGTAGTCACCCTATATTATTGACATTTCTTAGCATCACTTTTACTAAGTTGTCATCCCTAGTAATGGTACCAAAAATACTTATTGGTACTACCCAGTGCCACTTCTAGAATGACACTAAGAAGTACTTTAATATTACATGTGACTAGAAAAAATATATAAATGAAAGAAATCTGCAAATGCACAGATAATATACCATTGTAGCACTTTATCCGGGAGTATTTCAGGTATCATTATTTATATTTTTACCACAGGGAAGGTCTGGCAATGACATGTATTGATAACATATGCTATTGATAGAGAAGTAAACCATAACCAATATTCTACTCACAACAGGGTAAGTCAAGAGATAAATGTATATATAAATAGTGCATAGTAACTAATCATTGATCATTCATAATACTCCTTTCTATGGCATTAGCATCGTTATATATATGCTTTGACTTGTAATTAAGAATGACTTAGAAATTATTCCTCTAATATTCTATCTGACCATGCTAATGCTATAGAAAGAAATGCTCTGAGTGATTTATCATTATTATTACTTATTATATACATATCTTATCCTATGACTTATCCCTGTTATGAGTAGAACATCGGTTTGTCATGCTCTTAAAATCAAGATCACGTACACACCACCTAAATACGCACTACTCCTACACTGGGGGTAGGCGCAACAACATGCCATTCCATCTAGATCCACCTAAAAATGTTTCACTCCTACACTGGGAGTAAACACCAAAAATATTCTTCATAGATACCCACCAATTAAATGCTCCAAGTTCTTCTTGCTATCTTTCAAAAGTTTTCGTTGCAGAAAAGAAGCATGGGGCTATGCAAAAGTTATTCATAAAAAAAGAGATGAAAAAATGGGCAAGTGTCCGAGATATTGAAAACAATAGGTACTCAGATGCCCGCCTGAAAAAAAGAGAAAAAGAAGAAGATGAATAAGATAGCCCCTGTTTTCTTGTAAAGTTGTTTTCAAGTTTTAAAAGAGAGATATGTTTTTAAGGAGCATGGTAGAATTAGGTTAGCCACTATATATATTCACCATATACATTCATACACATGCACATCTTGATTTGATTGTATGACTCAACTCTCTTTGGATCCGAGGTTTGACTTTACAATATATGTATTGCAAGTACGCTCTTTTATTGTTTCTCCACTCCTATGAGCTCCACATAAGCCTTAGATGTAGGAAGAGAAAATCATAACACCACTATTGTCTTGGTGAGGATCAATAAATAACACATATATTGAGAGACTTGAGAGTGTCATACAATGATATATTTATCTATAAAATCTCTGGAGTAATGGTTGAGCAAAGAATTTGAAACATAGTGCTTGACTTGATCGTTCTGTCTTTCAATTACTCAAGATCCAAGTGAAGGTTGAGAAGCCCCATGGTTGAAGGTAATATGGGTAAGTTAGAAAGTCAGATCGGTTTATTCTAATCCGGAGGTGAATTCTTGTTTGAACGTATGTGTACTTTTGAGGAGTTGCTTCAATGTTTTCAAAATCCTTAAACTCCATATTTAGTTACTAAGTTTAGTTTTGCTAAGGGACTAGCAAAAGGTAAGCTTGGGGAGTTGTTGACGGTAGTTAACAACCAATATAAACCATCAATTAAACATGCATAAGGGCATAAATATAATCATCAATGAAGGTTTAGGGGTTTAAACTAATAAATTCCATGAGTTTTGGTGAATCTATGTTTCCAGCAGGGTTTAATCAGAAAACCGCCAAGGAGGACCTAATCGTCAAAGGAAAATATGGAGTTCCGCCGTGGTACCAACATGGGAAGACTCTAGTAGGGTCCAGAAGCCACGTCACCGAAGCGGAGGGCCACCCCCTGATAGGTGGGGTCGCCCGGCCCCCCTGGGCCCACCTATCATCCAACTTCGTATGTCGGTCTCCCACCGCCTTTGAGGATGCATCTAGGCCGTTACTTAAGTCAGTTTGATCCCAGAGCTCACGTTGGACTCTCAGGGCTATATAATACAGCTCCTGCCTCCCCCAGGCATCAGAAGTCATCAAGTCATTTGAGAAGACAGAAACCCTAATCTCCTCAGAGCTCCTCCTTTGTTGCATAGCTAGTTAGGATAGATCTAGAGGGAGGCAAGCAGGACTTTGCTTGGATTCCCGATCTTGTCAAGAGCGTGGTTTGGTATAAACTTTGTACCCCTCTCTCTTTTATTTCTCTATTTGTCGGATACCAGAAAATGGGGTACCCCAAGCAAAGATCGAAAAACTGCTTAGACCCTAAAAAGAACCAACGGAATAAACAAGCGAGGTCTCGGCCAAAATCTCCGATTCGCCCGAGACCCCATCGCCGAGCCCCAGCTGAAGCAAACGATTCTCCGACTACTTGAGACCGCCTCGCCGAGGCCCCTCTCGTCGAGCCCCCTCGCCGGGGCCTCGGAAGAAGTGCCGATTCTCCGATTCGAAAGCGAGGCTCGGGACCAGCCCGTGACCGCCTCTTGACCGAATCGCTTTCGACCGAACGTCGCATCCAAGCACCCAACCACTCCGATTGAGGCATCGCGATGGCATAAGATGTCAAGTGACCGACTACACGCCAGATCGCGTCAACCTCCTCGCCATCTCTGACGGCCAGAGCGGGGTTACCGACCACCAACTTGTCTTTGCCTAACTCCTGCACCAAAGACATCGCATAGCGTGGGGAGTCGAACGGGTTCTTGTAGCCTCGGAATCAGCGGACCGACCGCTCCGTCTCACCCGAGCCCCCCTCGATGGGGCCTCGGATTCACCGATCTTTCTCCGCCTCGCCCATCCGCCTCGCCCGAGACCCCGGTGAGGGCCTCGAGACGAATTGGCGGGCTTGTCCTCGCATAACCTCGTCGCCTCCTCGCCTCAAAGGTCTCTCTGGCGAGGCCGTCGCATTCGATTAATGCGCTCAACCGCACCCTTCGTAAGCCACGATCGGCGGTCTTGGCCGCAACAGGAGCGACGGGACAACGGTCAAATCACCTTTTTTACCATCCCTCATCGACAACACAGTACCATATCCCAGTGGGCGCACGTCTCGCCTTTATTCCGCTTTGATGGCGGCGAGACCGCATACGCACTGGGTCACTTCTCGGCCCCTCGACACGGCGAGCCTCGGCACTGCTGAGCCCTCGGCACGACCGGCTATGATGGCCACCGAGCTTCGCAATCCACCAAGCCAACGAATGCGTAGCATGTTACTTCAAATGGAGACCATACCGATTAGACATCTCACGAGAACTCCCACGACAACGCCATGCTGCTCCGAGGAGTAAATCGTCATCGAATAGTCCGCTCCACGTGTAGCTCTATTATGTACTCTGGTTTCCTCCCTACGGCTATAAAAGGAGGCGGCGGGACCGTTTCTAGGGCGACGGATAGAGTCACGAATACTCGCATGAACAACACGCCTCGTTCTATAATTCATATCACCTCCCCTCACAGAGACCTGGGACGAACTCCCTCTCTCGCCTAGCTTGTAACCCCCTACTA